AGGGGGGGGGGGGGGGGGGGAGGTATGCAATCATTTTAATGGCACTTTTTTTTTTTTTAAAATTAGAACACAGGTATCTCATAGAGATGAATTCAAAATACAACTTCAAACCAAAAGAGGATGTTTTAATGGCGTGGCACGTTCGGGGGTCCGCCCAACCATACTCCAGACCCCTGGGTGGCAGCAACCTTTTCCAAGACATGGGGAAGCTCAGAGGGCAAGTGAGACACGGGGGTGGTCCTGCCCCCCACCCCGAATGAAGCAGAAGCACAAGCAGGGTGTGGGGGGCACCATCTCTGGCAAAAGAGCTCAACGTGGTTCACGCAGGCCAAGGTTAGAGTCACAGGCAAGAGCCAGACTGAGTAGCTCTCTGCTGTTTGTGACGTCAGTCATTGGGGAGCAGAGAGCATTCCCTTCACGACAACATCCTCTGAGTTTTCTTCTGCACACCAGTCCTCCAGGATCTCTCCCTGTGTTGGGCCCAGGGTATTAAAGAACAATGTATTTCCACGTGAACCTTTCAGAATAGACCCTGTAGACCCTAGCTGGTTCCAATCTCCCACTACCGTAATACCCCCAAACAGCTTGGGGTATGGTTTCCCTACCCCAGTGTGCACAGGGACTTAAAAGTACAAATCATGTTTTAGACAGACTAGCCCCTGAGGAGGTCTGCAGCAATGCGTCTGAACTCAGTTATGATATGGTGTGTAACCATTTTAAGCATGGACCAAACAACGTTACAGGATGTTACCACAGCTTTGGCCAGAATCACACGGGGACAGAGTCGGAGCGCTGCTCCAGACGGCACGGGGCCGGCAGCGACAGAACAGGAGCCCGGATGCGCTCAGAGCCAGAGTGTGGGTCCTGGGCCCCCTAAAACCCAAATGGAGGGTTTCCTTACCCATATGGCCTGAGCGACTGTTCCAGAATAGTGTGATGGCGAGTACTCTTTGTCTACCCTCAGAAGTTGAAAGTCAGTGGCCTTTCTGGTTAGCATGGCTCCTCGGGTTATTGTGTGCGTTCGTATGGGGGCCCCCTCTCAGCAGGGCTGTGGGGAAACGAACATTTCCAACGGCCCAAGCCTGCTACTAACTTGCTGTGGGACCTTGCACATAACAACAAATGCTCCTGGCCTGACACACCCATTAGCAGGCATAAAATGACACGAAGATCAGGTTTTACCCCAACCCTTCAACAGTGGCGCCAGCTTGGACCCCTTTCCGGGACTGTTCCATCGTACCCCAGAGCTCTGGAGGGCCCATGGCCACATCCTTCCCCACTGCCTGTGAGGGAGAGGCGTCTCCTCCACAGCTGGGGGCCAAGGCTGGCTGGAGCGGGGAGAACCAAGGCCTGGGCCCCTGGCCTCAACTGGGGAAGACACTGAAAGCCCCTCCGTGGGCTGCGACCTCAGCTCCAGGTCACAGCACAGGCCTGCCTGGTCCCCAGCCAGTCTTGTCTTTCACACTTGTTTACAGGGAGCACCTCAGGACTCCTCCCAATACATGGTTTCCATGCAACTCGGCATCTGAGCGTTTCTATGGAACTCAGACACGCCCCCTCCACCGCTGTGATCTCATGCACGTGTTCCTTCTGCGCGCTGTAAGGACCGCAAAATGAAACCTCCCCAACGGCCGAAATACCAAAGTCTAAGACACAGAGGCAAAGTGAACCCCTGCCCGCTGTCTTCTTAGTGCATTTGTTCACTGGTTCCTCTGGTACCTACTGTGTGCACATACTGCTCCGGCCCCTACAGACACAGCAGCGAGCCAGAGGGGACCCCTTTATAGAGGTTGTAGTCTAGCGGGAGAGATGGGCAAACAAATGCGCCAAGGCGTCATACTAGATCAGGGTCCTGTGCTTTCCCACAGGGCCAGACCCCACACGTTCCGGGCTGGCAGGCTGCCCCATCTGTTCCAACTACTCACCTTTGGCCTTGTAGCGAAAAATGGCCACACATACATTCACGACTGTGTTCCAGAACAACTGCATTTACAGAAACAGGCGCCAGGCTCTAGCCACAGTCCACAAACTCCTGCTGCAGACGGTTACACAGAAGGAAACAGAGAGCCACGGTGCTATGGTGGGGATGCGGGTCATTACCGCACCTGGCAGAGAACTAATGATGAGCATCCGTCCAGATGGTATGGGGTCCGGTGTTCCAGGCAGAGGGGACAATATGTGCAAAGGCCCTGGGGTGGAGTGTTCCTGGCAACTGGGAAGAATGGCCAGAAGGCTCTGCTGGAGCAGAACAGTAGAGAAGTGAGAGGGGAGGAGTTCAGGGAAGGGTTGGGAACAGATCAGCAAATCACATAGGGCCCTGCAAAGTATTTTAAGGCCTCTGACTTTAACACTGATATTTACAAAGATTGAGGTGAAATTATTAGTGAATCGTACTGTCCTGAATCATCAGTACCACCTAAATGTTAAAAATATTTTCATACATTCTAACTCTTTGAAAATCCTAATTCACATACAGACTGTGACTCCAGCTAGAGTATTTAAATACGTCTGAAGCGTATTCCACAATAACGCCCACAGCAGCTTCCCATAAATGGAAATGCCTCCAAAGTGAAGGCCCTCATCTGCCTGTAGCCTTCTACTCACCTTGCTTTGCAACAGCCAAACTCAGTGGCACAGAAGTCGCTTAGAGTTTTGCTGCCTCTGTATTTCCAACTCTTCTTACAGCCAAGCTTCTGAGCCTTTCCTTTTTTAAAAATTTTAAAAATATTTTTATTTTTGAGACACAGACAGCCCATGAGCAGGGGAGGGGCAGAGAGAGAGAGGCAGACACAGAATCCAAAGCAGGTTCCGGGCTCTGAGCTGTCAGCACAGAGCCTTATGTGGGGCTTGAACCCACGAACCGCGAGATCATGACCTGAAGTCGGATGCTTCACCTACCGAGCCACCCAGGTGCCCCTAAAAAATTTTTTAA